TATAAATCATTAAAGAAAGGTAAATACAGTGTTCGAATAAAGGACTTAATAAAAACATCGTGTAGCATAGCTCTCAACGAATGTAGTCCTGTAAATAAATGTTATATATATGTATGTATATGTATATATTTGTATATAAAATAGCCCTATTGGAATACCATTTTCATGTTTTCATGCTAATTACACAACATAAGGAAAGACAAAAACTTGCCATGGGCCGTTTCTAGTTCAGCTCGTAGATGAAAGTTTAGTGAGTTAATTTTATGCCAGTTTCTAATTATTCAAGCCACGTTTTTAATTCAATTGCATTGTTTTGATTGTATTTCTATGCTTCTCCTTATTGGAGATTATTTTGAATAAAGGAGTGCATGAAAAATAGACCATTGTTAACAACTCAAGGTCAAGAATTAAACATCATTATGTGCATGGTGTAGGCCTATTATCGCTCGGTGGCAACGTTTACTAATTGATCTTAGGGCATCCATTAAGGTAGTGTGTGTTTGCTTCTCGTTATGTCGTATTTACATAGAGTTCAATAAAACTTTTTGATGGAGCGAGCCGTTTCAGACACTGAACATTGGTAAAATTCAACTTGTGCTGTATTAGTGTCGTAACATCGCAAATACAATACCTTGGGCTGAAAATTCACAGGGAATGTAATTCAGATTCTGTGTTCAAGTAAGTACTGTAATAAGGATATTCGTTAATTTTTATTTCTGGATTGGTCAGTAAGGAAACAAACAATTTGCAACGACAAACAGCATAGGTCCACAGGAACATTACATAAAACATTAATATTATTTAATGTTACAACATAATAAGCAATTAGTAGAGCTGCACACGAACTTACAAAAGATACGAAAAAATAGTGCATTGTTGGGGATAGGCAAATAACACTGGGGGTTGCAGTGATGATGTCACCATTGAATTGAAAATAATTGTCTACAAGCTAACAAAGCCTTATTAGCTTTGAAGAGGGTAATTCAGGGACGTTTTGGAACTAAACTTATGGAATCAATTTTTTTATGTTAAAATATTACCGATTTTACTCTATGGCAGTGAAATGTGGGGTTTAGATGATATTTCATCTATTGATAAGATACAAATAAAATTCTGTAATTACATATTAGGAGTTGGCAACTCAGCACCCAATATTGGTGTTAGAGGAGAATGCGGGAGATACCCCATACATGTTGCATGTTTTGTTAACGTTATTGGGTATTGGTTAAGGCTGATTTATATGGACAGTGAAAAATTTATTAGGCAATGCTATGATTTTCAATACCGAAAAACACAAAGAAACGAGCCTTGCTGGGCCTCTATAGATGTAAAAAATCTATTATGTTCCATTGGGATTAAAAACTGTTTAGTGCGGGAAGTTTAACCTAATTAAAAAAAAATGAATATCCACTATGTAATATTAACTAGATTTATTTGAAGTTTGAATAATTTGATACAGTAATTTTAATTATTTTTTGGATCCCAATTGTTAAATATTTCTTTTCTTGTCCCTATTGCGTTACTTACCATGCACACAAAGCGCGGATTATTAACTCGTCTTTACATGTAACCATAAGGTATAAAAAAAACCTCCATGATGTAATAATGCATCAAGTTCCGTGGTTACCACTTATGTGTGCTAAACATTTGACATACATAATACTAAAATAGTTAGTCCTAGAAAGTATCAATTGGTGATAACTGTACTGTGACCAGTCAGCATGGTTATTGTTGCTTTAAAGTTGATAAAAACCCAGAAACCCACTAGCGTAATTCAATAAATAATAATCCGACAAAACATTTTTTTTGTAATCTACGTTAGTCATCCATGATCCAACCAGGATATGTGTCTACCCACAGTATTAGGAGGCAGACGACAAAAGATCTTTTAGGCACACCGTAAAGACGCTTCTGTGACGTATTATTCGACAATGACTACATTGAAAAGAAAAAACGTGAACTGTTCCCTGAGTTAATTGTGTTCGCCACCGCCCTTGATAATGATCAATAATAGAGATCATTACAGATACCGACCCAAACTCTTTGTTTTGTCAAGTCAAAAAACCCACAATTTCTGAGAGACCAATTCGCACAGACGTCACTGGCAGGAATATCATTGTCACTGATCCACCTTCATTGTGGCCATTGTTGTAAAAAGATCTAGCACGCCTTGAATTCAAAGTTGAAATTAATAGATACTCATTAATATCATCTGCCATTCACTCATGTAACTCCGACTTCAACACTGAACTATACACTGAATAGACCTATCTATATCATATGTTTAAATTATCTTATATTCTTATGTGTATGATATCTATTTAAAAAACTATATCTTGGGTATCTTTGGTGTATTTTCATAATCAGATTAACCCAAATATGTAACAAGGAAAAGAAATATCATGGCATTGTTATGACAATAAAGGATATCTGTATGGAATTGTCCTTGAAATTGTAAAGCTCTAATGTGCAGATGTCCAAAAAACACGTTGTATTCTCCTTGTATGATGATAGTTCAACAAGATTTTCAATAGGTATCTCACAAAATCACAGTCAATTTTGCCTACATAACATGCTATTTTTCGCGAATCCTTGGTTTATGCTAAAATCCCTAACAAATGTGCTCTTAGTCTCCAGTACGCTGAAGTATGTAAGTTAAAAACCATTAAACAATCGGGGTAAGGCAAGCTACGAATAGAATGAATAAGTTTTTTAACGTTAATGAACTTTCCCAAGCAAGTTTCCCTCTCTACGATGTAGGTACATTATTGCAATAATCAAGTGTAGTTGTAATTGCCTTACAAACGAAGAAAACCACTCCTGTTAAAAAAAAAAAACTTAAAAGAAAATATATCATGCCTAACTTTCGACTTGCTCTCTTAGCAACGTCCGACACATGGGCAAGTTTAGAATCGAAAGTGATACCAAGATCCTTCTTATTTTCGACAGCATTTAACAAGTCCTCGCATAATATAAATACTTATTATTTTTCTTTCCAAAATGCATTACTTTGCACTTGCCCTCATTGAATGGCAACCGCCACTTTTGTTCCGATCACATCCTCTATCAATGTCAAGTTGTAAATTATAAGCATCAGTCAGTATTGACTATCCTATGAAATTTGGTGTCATCTGCAAACATAAAAGCAGAGGAATGAATAATAGAAGGCAAATCATTTATAAACATAATAAAAAGGAGATCTCCAACAACGCTACAATTTACTGGACAAAACTGATAGAATAAAAAATCGAACGTTTTTGATGTGTAATTGATTGATTTTTTAATGACAAGTTATGGGTTATATCTTCTGTGTAATGGTCCGAGTTACTTAATTAAATTAAATTACTTTAATTAAAATATAAAACATAAAAAAATACGATTGAAATTATTACAGTTAAATAATGTTGTTAAAGCTATTTATAATGTAATGTAACCATATTTGATTTACTGTTTTTCATTTGTTTGATTGTTGGGGTAATGCTGGATTCATCAGCCTCTGATTCGAAAACGTTTCGTTATATTATTGATTTACCTATTAGAAATGAAGCTGGGATGCTCACACACAAGGAAAAAAATGCATATATCAGAAAAATATGATGTGAAGTATTTCATAATTCATGATCGAGTGTACGTATGATTTGACATAAGGTGACATGTACTTCATGATACCATAGTGTAAACGTCCGTTCATAAGAAATTCTTTTGGAAGCATGACCACAAGGGGCGTAATTTTATTTAAACCGAAATTTAACAAAAATTGTAAATAATACCTAATGTGACGTATATAATTCATGATGGAGTATGTCCATAAAAGTTAGTACAGATTAAACGTCGGTACTTTATGGGCAGATTTTATGTTAAAAAACAAAACAAATCAAAACAAAAAAGAAAAAAACAAAAACAAAAACAAAAATGTAATTGCAAATAGATGATATTCATAACTTGTATCATGATTGAGTGAGCGAATTCTGTTTAAAGATTTGTGCATTGTGAAACTGTCAAAGGGGTCGAAAAAATGAAAAATGTAACTTTTGTAAATATGAGGATACACAATGAGTTTCATATTTATTCACTTAAGGGAATATAGATAAGTATAAAACTGAAAATTATTGAAAAAAGAGATAATGGAAAATAAAGGTTGGTTATCCCCACAAAAGAGAAAAAAAACGCTACCCTGGGGAATCCCACTACTACGAACATTTACCCAGTCTTAAAGATATCCGCTAACACTCACTATATGCATTCTACCAGAAAGAAACTCTTGGACCAAACATAAAAGCTCACCGGTCCGCGCGCTAAACTGAGGTTACCTCCATCCAGCGTTTAACGCTTCGTGTATGTACTTTTCTGACGAATCTTTCTGTTGACACTTAAAACATGCTTAAATCATGGAGGAAATATTCTCCATGCTTAAATACAGTAGACAATGGCGTAATTGGGTTTATAATTGCCATTAATTACTAAAAATAACAGAGAAAAATAAATTTAAATAAATAAAAAAATAAAATGTCTCAAAATTGAAAAAAAAAAATGATTACCAAGATGCGATTCTAACTCACAATCTTTGGTTCCTTAGAACACATCGTCAACCGACCGTGCCATCCATGCGTCTTTAGTGGCAATGGCAGTAATGTAAGTGCTTGCTGAAACCGATGTTTTGATTTGTAGGTTTATGAGGCACCCTGGGGTTCAACTTAAATAAAAAATGGCCATGAACCTTTGTTAGAAAGCACTTCTAGTTTATGTGTACACAATTTCCCGCACGTCCGTTTAAATCTGGCGACGCTGTACGCTTTTAAAGTTCTGGTAACAACAAAAAGAAAAGGTGAGAAGTGAGGTTCTGGGCTCCGCAAAAACAATAATTATATGCTGAAATACCGTAGCGTATCAAGTCAACAATGCCTATAAGTTATTCACGATTACGCCGGTCAATGGATCAAACACTTATGGAACTGTTCCCTGGTTCGGACCTACCACATTCGCAATGGTTCTTCAGATGTTCTTGACTGTCCCGTATATGGGACACTCAGTGTAAATAGGTTCTTTATTTCCAAGGGTTTTGTACATAATTCTAAAAACACTTTAACAAACCTAAAGTGGGTCGAAAGACCCTTTAGCGAACCAATTTTCCTTTTTTTTTCGAACCTTTAAATGTTCCATATACAGGAAAGCTGAAGAACCAATAAAGCACCATTTTTACCATTTTTTTCTACGAGTGTAGGTTAAAATATAACGGATGTGGTTTGTTACACTTATTAAAATAATAAACATGTCTTCTATTTTCACAGCTTACGTACTTGAATTATGAAGCGCCCTCGACTAGATTTCATTGAGCAAGGCCTCACCAAGTTATATGCAAAGTATGGACGTATTATCGCCCGCTGTCCATTGCCATTTCTTATTATCCCTGTACTTGTTGCAGCCGGGCTAGGATGCGGTTTAAAATACCTACAAAGTGTATCCAGTGTCGAGTACCTTTATACGCCACTAAACGGTCAGGGTAAAATAGATCGTGACATTGTTGAATCTTTCTTCACATCAGAAGATGTTGACGCTGCGTCCGTTGCGCGACTCTCTCGTACCATTTTGTACTCTTGGGCAATTGTTTCAACGAAGGATCCGGACGGCAATGCCCTCTCCACTGATATTTTTACAGAAATTCTTAAATTGGATGAACAATTGAAAAATATAACCATCGTAAGCAATGATACTGTGTACGGTTGGAATGATCTCTGTCTGGCTTATGATGGAGAGTGTCTCCCTCTGCTAGTGCTCAAGGCTTTTGGAGATGATGTGGACAATCTTGATAATTTGCAGATAACATACCCAGTGTACGCAGATGGCGCGGGAACCCAGTACTTCCTTGGAACTGATGTTGGCGGCGTCACTTACCAATCGGGCTCTGATGTTTTACTTGAGCGTGCGTTTGCGGTGAAGTTAAATTATTATCTTTCAATTGATAGGAGTGTTAGACAAGCAACGAATCTTTGGAGCAGTGCTTTTCTCAATTTTCTTCTGAACTACGAATCAGATTTAATTGATGTGCGCGTTTACACGACACGATCATTGGACACTGAATTGAAAAAAGTTATAGATCAAATTTTACCAATTTTCGCAGTAGGGGGCTCGCTTCTGATAGCCTATGCGATCTTGTCAAGTAACAAACGTGACTGGGTACAGAACAAACCATGGCTGTGTCTCAGTGGCGTGATATCCGCTTTACTTGCAATATTGTCGTCATTCGGCCTTCTTAGCTACTGTCAAGTTGAATTTACCGAGGTGGTAGCATGCCTACCAGTTCTTATTTTGAGTAAGTTAAATTAAGCTATAACAAAACCAATCAAATAGAAATTGATAAGGGTGTTGTTGATGACGTTGGTGATGTTAATACATGGTGATAATAATTTAATAACAACAAAGAGGCCTAATGATAAAAATTTTGATGTTGGTATTTTAATGGTGGCAGCGAAGACGTGGATAGCATCGGCGACGGTGAGGATCGTGTTTTCAGGCATAAGTAGCATTATTGTTTCGCATGACCATATCATGGAATTAAATAATCACTGCAACATTGTATAATTTTAGTATAAGATTATGGTCTTATTGGTAAAATTCTAATATCAACAAAAAGAGTGCCAGCAATCAGACAACTGTGTCAAACGCAGTGACCACAGCGTTGATTTCCACGACGGGGACGATGATGATATTGACTCAATTGTAATGGCAACAATCAAACGACCAACCGATGATGATGATGATGGTGATGATGATGATGAGGATGATGATGATGATGATGATGGGTAAAGCAGACCTCCTAAGGAATCCAAAAGTATGAGTACAACCGGAGTGCTAGAAATAAAAAAAGATAGGACAGATCCACCACATGGTGATGGGGGTGGTGATGGTGGTGGTAATTGTGACGGTAGTGGTGATGGGGTGAGGTGGGTTGTGATGATGGTGATTATGACAATGTATATAATGATGAATCATCACGATTATCAAATTTTGATTTGTTTGTGTCTAGGTATTGGTGTCGATGACATGTTTATTATGTTGGCTGCTTGGAGAAATACGAACATTCGCCACTCTGTCGAGGATAGGATGTCTAGAGCCTTTAGCGAAGCCGCGTTGTCCATCACCATAACGAGCATCACAGACGGACTTGCTTTCGCTGTAGGTGCCTTCTCCACATTCCCATCTGTCCAGATATTTTGCAAGTACGCCGCTGCCGCTGTAACCGCGGATTTTATCTATCAGATTACATTTTTCGCGGCAGCCATGGTGTTGTTCGGTCACCGTGAATCTGCCAATCGCCACTCTATGGCATGTTTCAAAGTCAAGCCCAACGACGAAGCACCGAGTGTTGCCTACAGAGTGATGTGCGCCGGTGGACCGTCCCAATCAGAATCAAAGAGTTCCAGTTTCGCCCCTAGTTCACTAATGCTATTTTTTAAAGGCACATTTGGACCGGTAGTTTTACATAACGTCTCAAAATTCATTATACTACTTTCTTATGGAGTATATCTGGGATTTGGTATCTGGGGTGTATTAAATGTAGATGAGGGTCTGTCCCTCTCAAGCTTAGCGGCTGACGACTCCTATGTAAACGATTTCTACGACTATGAATACAGATATTTGCGTGGGTTCGGTCCGAGTATAATGCTGGCCATTACCGAAACGCTCGACTATTCTGACATTTCCGTTCAAGAAGGCATTGAAAACCTTGTATCAGACTACGAAGCGCTCAACGTCATTCACTCTTCAACATTCACTGAATCATGGCTTCGTTTTTACCTGCAATATCTGGCAACTGCAAACATTACTTATAGTGGTAATGAGGAATTTGTCGCCATATTACGTCAACAGTTCTTACAGCTCGACGCGTATGCGCACTACGCGCAAGACATTGTCTTCGCCGACGAGAATGCTACGGACATAATTGCATCGCGGTTCATTTTAATATCAAAAGATATAAGCAACACGTACAGAGAGCAAGAATTGTTAGTTCAAACTCGTGATCTTTTGGACAGTTCACCATATGAAACATTGGTATATAATAGTCTTTATGTCTTCTTCGATCAGTATACTTCCATTTTACCGGCCACTTTGCAAAATCTAGGAATAGCTCTTGCGGCGATGTTGGTAGTTTCGCTTCTCCTCATTCCAAGTCTGAGCTGCAGTATTTGGGTTGTCGCCGCGATCGCGTCCATCGAGGTTGGCGTAATTGGTTACATGACCTTTTGGGGCGTGCGTCTGGATTCCATATCCATGATCGTCATTATTCTGTGCATCGGTTTTAGTGTCGATTTCTCCGCACATATTACCTACTCGTACACAATAGCACCTGGAAATACCAAGGAAAAGCGAATGAATAACGCGTTGTTTCTACTGGGTATGCCCATGCTACAAGGCGCCGTTTCGACAATCCTGGGCGTGCTTACGTTGGCTTTCTCTTCGTTCTACATTTTCCGTACATTGTTTAAGACGCTCTTCTTGGTGATTGTTTTTGGACTGTATCACGGTTTATTTGTCTTGCCGGTTCTGTTATCACTATTCGGTCCAACTTCTAAAAGTAGGCCTATTCGGAAGGGCATCAGTAAACGTAAGTCTGTGAGGGGTATGAGTTTTAATTCTTATGGCAGCAGACGCGCATTTCGAAAAATAAACTCCAAGAGGGACATTGAAAGGGCAAACCGACAATCCAATGGTAATAAAGTATATCCAGCACACGACGTCAAGAACGAAATGCCAGTTTATGAATTGTCTGAAGAAGAAATACACTCAGATAGTGAAGCAAATGACAAGAAGGATAAGAGTCCGGAAGTTGTGTCTAGTGAAATGTGAAGAGAGCCAAGAAATCACTAGCAAGCTTGCATTTTAGAGGCGAGGACGGGCGTTATTTACAAAATTTCTGTGTGAAAGTGCTTTCTCACCATATCCGAACTTTCGATTTGTTCGACCATGGGGGAATTAGTTTATCCCCCCATGGTTCGACGACGCGACGATAGACGGAATCACTCATGTGATGTCATTACGCTCTACGTCCTACACAGTAAAAACAGCGTGGAGCATTTAAACACAGAGCTCCACGCAATGTTGTCCCGTTTTTAGTGACGCGTTTAAAAGCTAAACGTGTTTAATGTGTTTAGGTATTTGACGTGTTTAGCATTAAATGTGCTTAGGTATTTGACATCATGATGTCAAATACCTAAACACGTCAAGATTGTGTGGAGCTTTGTGTTTAAATCCTCCACGCTGTGTTTACAGTGTACGGTCGCCGTGCAATCGAAAGCTCCATACTGATACCTCAGGAACGGAACCCAGGACATTGAGCAATCATCTTTAGTGGCGCAACGCCGGAGGAGCCCCCTCACCCCCACTGTGGCTTCATGAGATTGGAGTGGACGGTATATGTTTTATTGACTTAATTGAATATTGTGCTGTGTTAATCTATGTTGCAAGTGAAATAAAGTTGGTTTGGTTTGGATTTGATTTGGTTTGATAAATATCTGGAGTCTACAGTCAGTCTCGTAGCCTCTGGGCTTTCAGAATTTACAAAGGAACATCTCAAACCTCTTCATTCAGACCGCTGAGAATGAATCAGACAAGAATTTTTAATCAATAACGTTATAACATGGGAAACGATACTGTAGTTTGAACTATCTTAGCGTCTGTATCGTTTGTATTAGGAATCTAATGGGCTCTGCGCCGGGACCCAGCTGAGTGCCTCAGCCGGCCCCCAGCTGAGGCCCCCCTCCCCCCACCTTTGCTAGAAAAGGGGGTTCTCCCGAACCATAATAAAACCCCCTGGATACGGGCCTGATTCGTCGGCAGCCTTCGCTGCACCTGGGCCCATGGCCGATCTTGGCGGCAGTGTAATAATCATAGTCTTCGATTTGCCTTTTCGCCCTAAAATACTGAATAAAATACCATTATCTATACTGAATCAATTTCTAAATAATTGAAATCTTTGACTCATCGAAAGTTCGAATTGACCTATGAAATTGCTCTATAAAAGTTAAATTTCTATACCGTAAAAATGACTTATAGGCCTATGCATATTGTAAATGCAAAAGTAATGTTAATGTTTGATTTGATTAAAATTAATGTAGACCTATATTTTGGACAAAGGCATGAGCCTATCTGATCTGTGTCTACTATTTAGTTTCAAATAGGCCTATCTGTGATTGACAGCAGGGGCGAATCTGGGTTCAAATTTAGGGGAGGGGAGGAGTCAAAATGTTTCTAAAAAACTTCGGAAAAATTTTGATGGCAGGGAATGATCTTTTTCACCAAGGGGGTCAGGACACCCTGAAGCCCCTCAGACCCGCCAATGTTGACATATATAGCTAAACACAAAGCATGTTTAGCCCCTCCACACCTTCTAAATCTTCCCCTAAATAGAGTGAAACTTAGTGAATATAAAATAAAAATTCAGATCCCTTGTTGCAAAAACCTAAATTATACACAATTGTTATTTAACCCTAATTCGTGCGTTGTACCTGTGCTTACCTTAAAGGATAAGTTTTTTATATGATTTGAGAACTGATTTAGCATAGGCCTACTCAGTTGCATAGTATCCCATATTTGAAATTACGAATCTCGTGAGCGTTCGTTACGTAGACGCTCAGTTTAAACGAAATTATTGATGACGTATCGGTACCAGGAGCTTCGCTCCATCCAAATTTAGCGACAGGCCATTGTAATGCATAGGAATAGGATTGCTATAGAGAAGTTGTTTGCATTATTACTATCATTGTGTTTGTACAAAGTAATATCGATGGCCCAGGTAGGCAAATAAGAAGTAATTGTAGATAGACCAAGTAGACAAAGAAGTCATTGAACGTCGGAGAAAAAAAAAAACAAAAACCAAAGAGAAATAACGAACGTGCACGAGATTAGTAATTTAAAAAAATGGGATATTATGTAACTGAGTATGCAAAATCAGTTCCCAAACAAATTATACAAAATCGGTAAACTTCTCCTTTAATAAACGGTACAGTACAGATACAAGCGCGAATGATTTTATTTCTACTAATGTACTGGCTGTTACTGTACTTGATTGGCGCCCTCTTTCTAACATCTAAAAGTGGAACGTTATAATATTGGTCTGGATGGTGGCGCTTTAGAACCCCAGACCACTGATGAGAACAACAGAGCAACTTTGATGCTGTTGTAGAGAAAATAAAGACATTTTTATTTTCTTCTGCAAAAAAAGTCTGAACACTTGCCATTAGAAACCTCATCAAGTTATTGCAATATGGATGGTGTTGTTTCCACACTAACAAGAATCCCGTTAAAGGTAGGTAGGCTAGGCCTAGCTAATTCTATAATATTAATGCCTGTGTGTTTCTCTCGTAGTTAATGAACGGATTTCTTGGAGGATCCCGTCACGCTTTGTTTGGTGAGACAATCTGTGTACCATTATTATGGATTTGCTTTTGTACTGTATTCGATAGTTAGTATTTCATAGAACACTTTCTCATGGGCTAATTATCAATCGCATGGATTCAGACTGTTGATTTTTAAAAAGGTGTTAAAACCCAATTGAAACCCCGTCTTTCATCAGTTTTCCAAAAGTAGCCTCGAAAATAATTAAAGAAGCCTATTGTATTGTGAGCTTCTTTTCAAGAATAATAGGCTATGTATGGGTGTCACAGCACAGCATGCACAGCTCCCGTCGACCACTACCGTAGTAGACCAGGCCTATGTGGACTAGAAAAGAATAATTTTTTAGAAATAATCAACAAAATTGAGTTTTTCCAAGGCAGCATGCAGCATGGAGCTCCTGACCAACTCCACCATACATGGCTTCTTTCCAGAGTCTGCCGGTCTCCATCGGAAGTTATCGTAAAACCCCTTTTCAGAGAGCTGGACCCCAGAATATCCTAGTTAGTGCACCATTGACTGCACGGCTAACTGTTGGGGTATGGGTGACCCACCTATAAATCGTATTGTAAGCCAAAAATGAACCAACCAACCAACATTTGTGTGCAGAATTGATGTTATATTAGAATCGTTTCCAAAATGAATATAATTAAGGTCACGAGAATGAAAGTTGTAGGTTTGCATCCGAAAAATTTTGAAAACACGTGAGGTATTTTTTCATTTTTCATTATTTTTTTTATAAATGCTGTCCACAAGCTGCGGCATTGGTAATTTTACATTTATTCCCAAGAAACAATGCTTACAGTCATAAATGTACACTGGCCTATAAAACAGATCCTTTTCTACATTTAGGACCTCTTTAAACATACGAGATTTCCTATTGGTCAGAAAGATTGATTTGACCCCTAAATGACCTCAGCAGTGATCGGCGATCATGGTGCGATGTGGCCAGGCCTGCCTTCGCTCGGTGTTCACAACGAATGATCAGTGATGAATAGATCGTTTTTCTGTCTGTTTACGGCTTAGAAAGTCTGTTTTTTGAATGAACTTTTCAAAATAATGAAAATTTTTATGCGGTACCTTTTTAGGCATGCGGGCGGTGGACGCAAACCTATAACTTTCATATATAATATAACATAGGTGCAGAATAAAATGCTTTTTTTTGAACAATGATCTTTTTGATAAAAAAAAAAGTAGGCCTACCATCAGACCTACCAAGCACATTGTGGCAAGCGGGGCACAGTGGCAGATCCCTAATGAACAACAGAATGCAATGCCATTAGTTGTAACAGCTCATTAAGCTAAACACTACTTCTAGGTGGTTCCATCTGGTGATTTCACTCCCCCAGGTATTATAATTGAAGGCTAGACAATAAAGTTAATTAAATTTATATTCCTTAATTGCATTGGCTGTTTACTATTAATGTAACAACGGCAGTAAAGTACAGCTATAAATAAGGCATACACGAGAGGCTGAATTGTGATGTTGACAGGGACTGGGGAGGGGAAACAGTAGGGAGCCCTCGATTTACTTCGCGACACGACTCTAGAATGGGTTCACTCATGTGTGACCGTCATACGTTCTCTGCATGATATCAACTTGGTCAAACTCTGTCCTGGAATCCACAGAACCAGGAGAACTTGACGTTCTCGCATGTGCAAATGAAATATTAGTTAGTGAGGTTATTATGTTCTAGATTCTAACGCGTTGTGCAATCGTGAGCTCCCTATTAAATGGAAAAAGAACAGTGACTGAAGATGGTGACAGATCCTATGAAAGATGGAACAGTGACTAGGGAGAAAAATAAATCCTCAAAAACAGTGACCGAAGAAGTGAACATGTACTTGGGGGGAAAACAGAAACCATGATAATTATGAGACTTGTTGTCAGACACCTACTAAAAAATTGACTCAACTTTCCTACATTGGTGGATAAGTAGCGACGAAAGGGAATTCGCCATCCACCTTTCTCCAAGCAGCAGATTAAAAATCTAACCACATGTGAAATCAGATGAGAGATAGCTGAAACAATGGCCCCCCTTCCCCCTCGCTTTAGAACTGCCTCTCTAATACATTGATGCCGATAATGAAAGTTTATTTAAGCTTACTCAGCTTAGGTACCAAGGATATGTCAAACAGTGAGCTTAATCAATCTTCAAAGTGGCAATCCCATCACAGGTCAAACATACACACAAAATGCTCTACATAGACTAACAAGATGTTCTACGTGACTAAATCTCATTATGAGGCTTAGGGAGTGAAGTCGGTTTGGTCCCGAGAAAAAAGCCTGTTACCCTGACGACAGGAATTAAGTCCAGGTCCCTAGGTTTGGAAGGCAAGCATCTTAACCACCAAGCCATTCAACTCCACTCCTTTTGGTAAAGCGCTAGGCCTGCTATGTAAACATTAGAAATTTAATCTACGACATTAAACTGCATCCGGTCGAGCCATCGACTAATAGCTAAACAAAGGGCAGATGAGCTCCTCTGAGTCAGCAGCCAACCATAAATTAGTTGAAGGAATAGGAGTAGTTGAGCTTCATTTTTTAAATATTATTTACTATTATTATAAATATTTTATTATTATTATTATTATTATTATATTTATTATTATTACTATTGTTAATTTTTTTTTAAATTTTATTTTCTTGGTTGCCCAATATAATTTATGTGTAAAGTGCATAGGAACAATGTGCAATATGGACTAGTTACATAGATATACCATTATTATTATTTATATATAAAGTTAATAAAATGATAATTTATGTAGAGTAGATAAATTATTAAATTATAGATGTAGTTGGAATTGTCCAATCATAAACTTTTAAAGATTTGACCTTTGCTCATACTATCATTAATGAATGCAACTCATTATAAATAAATGAGATCGATAAATATTTAAAATATTTAGCAGACTTCAGTTTGGTACAGTAGGCCTACCGGTGAATGCTCCTTGAACGAGTCAAACAGCGAGGTCGACATCTGTCTTACGATGAGTCTCCTCAGAGATCCCTGTTCAATTCCAGTTTAAATTAAACTTCATACAGTACTAGGTAACATGTTTTTGAATTAATTTATATGACGGGAATCGAGAAAGTGCAATACATTGTTCATCATTAAATATTGTTGATTTTCTTTTGAAATTATTTCAAATTAAAATGATAGTTCATCCATACAAACCTATTCAGAAAATTATCGCAAGCAAGTTTTTTAAAATTTTATTTGCAATTTATTTAACAAGGATAAAATCACATTCAATGAAGAAAGCTTAAAACTACATTGTTGTTATTAATAATATGACAAACCAATACCAAAGACAAAATACTCACAATAATGAATCAAAAATAAAAACAATCAAGCAAGATTGTAGGCAATAAGCAGGGTGCAATAATGAATGAAGTTAAAAAAAAATTCAGAAGTAATTGAAAAGTAATTTTCCTTTAAGATTTTTGAGATTTTAAATGTCAGGACAAAATTATTAAAATGTATTGCTAAAAAAAAAATCTAAAAAATGACTTAACAGTTACAATACAAATTTCAAAGATAAGATTATGTAAAAACGAGATTTACAGTAAGAAAACATTTTATCAAATTATTTTCCTTAAGATTTTTAACAATGGGGTTTCTTGCATTTTAATTGGTAGTTTCAAATTTCAATGTCTAATTTTTGGATTTTATGTAATTTTTTTCTTATGGCCTTACAGCATCAATTAGGTAAGTGAGGTACAAAGTCAATGACACTGTTGATGGTGTCAAAATTTAGTTTTTAATTGTTTCAATATTAGGCCAAGTTAAAAAAAAAATGGAGTTTCTTGTCCTAATATTTTGAAGAAGGGAGAATGAGGACACTTTTTTTACTCCCAAGATGAGAATCACTAGACATGATACTATACATACCATATGTAACCCCAACCACAAATGATCAAGAGGAATTTTATCGATGTCGATGTGAGTTAGCCAGATTTTCGTACATTTTGTAAAATAAAGGAAATAAAAAAAATATAATAAAAATTGTGGCTGCAGGAGGGAACGAGAATCTAGTAATTTTTTAAATTTGGCTGTATGTAATTTTTTTTGTGTTCATGTTTTTTGGAGTAAACAATAAATTTAAATTCTATAGATACTGCCATGACATAGCTAGACAAATTGTATTAATAAACACGGCAAGCAATGCTCGGTAAACGAAAATGTATGGCTTCTACGGAATGTTTCTGCTGTAAGGCAAATCATTAATGTTGAATAATGTTGCTTGCAATGCAAGTAAATTACTTTAAATTGCTTGTAAATTGAACTTTGCAACATAGTAGTAGGGTGGATTGCTAATGCCACAAAAGATAAAGGCCAAAATATTGAGGTTTTAAATAAAAAGTTAGGCCTAGGCCCAACATCTACAGCCAAAGGGAACTGCAACAAGAGTCCTTGATGTATGTAGCAAATGGAACACACTACGATTTCTAGGCTAGCTAACAGCTCGTATTCAAGGCACAGTACTGCTCTGATGATCATCTCTCTCCTGCAATTCTTGCTAGTCAGGCTACAGACCAATGACAAGGCCTAAAACAGTACTACAATTTGTTGTAGTGTTGTAGTGTGTTGACCTTTTGAAATTGTTAATTACATACTATTTTTTTAATAAGGCCTAATAAAAAAAAAATGATTAGTTTTATCATGCTATTTAGGTTGGAAAAGTGATGAAGTAGAGGGTCTCTTTTTATTTTTATTTGCTAAAACCAGACATCACCCTTAATAGTTGTTTGTTGATGCTTTAAGTAAATACCGTACATGATTGTGATAACACTAGCAATATACCAAATATTTACCCCCTTCCCCCCCCCCCCACTCCAAAAAAAAAAAAAAATTCAAAATGGTTTTTTCCAATACTATAGAAGACATGCGTGCAGGAATGATAAACTAATCATTTTTGATATTGGGTCTGCATTCCTATAAACAGACCTGCCAACTCACCCAATCCTGTCGGGTGTCACCCGATATTTAAACAAATCTCCAGTTCTCCTGATTGAATGTAATTTTCACCCGACTTCACATGCCCTTCCTCCCCAAAAATACTCCGATTTATGCATAATTTGATTGATTTGATCGTTATTATTAAATGTATTCGCCGCCTGCTCGCTTTGCGGTGCAATAAACAACAGCCATTTGCAATTCGAATGTCGCCATTAACGGCCAATGATTTTTAGTGACATGACTTTTTTGGAATCTTGCATCATCTTTTGGTTAATTCCGGGAACCTCCAGATTTTTTGGTAAATCTCCAGATTTTTTTATAGGTTCTTAAAAAAATCTCCAGATTTTCATGACCCAAGGGTTGGCAGGTCTGTATAAATGTTGCAGACCTTGTGTGATGCAGTACTGTACTGTGATTTGCTTTGATGTCTGTTCAACGGCAGTGGAACATTTTTGAAAGTGGGGGAGGGGGGCATTTCATAAGGTCCAATATGCAAGCAAAGCAAGTATTTAGGCTGGGGGCCACCAAGGGACCCCGGTGGGGGTCAGGGGTCCCTGGAAGCTACAGATATTTGACGAAGCTTGGTGAATTTTATTGGTTATTTTATTGTCATCAAGCTACTGTAATATGACTTCATAATCGTTGTAATTTCCAGTGACGGATAAGAATTCAAAATAGAGGGAACCAGGAGAGGGCACTTTCCCAGATGGAGGATGTGGTTAGGCCTGAGGTCAGAAAATTTGTGATTATGGCACCTCTAGATGGCTGTAAATTGCACTTCCAGACAAAATTTGAATATAATTTTCTCCATTTAAAAAAAAATTGAGCAATTTAGGAGGCACCCTTAAATTTTGAACTTAAAAAAAGGGCGATAAATGTTTGTTGGAAATCATCTCTAGTTTATGTGTACAAAATTTCCTGCACGTCCGTTCAAAACTGGCGACGCTGGATGCTGTTACTGTAAAGTTTTGGTAACAACAAGAAGAAGAACGAGAACAGCAGTGAGCTCTGGGGTGAGAGCGCCTTGCGCAGACCCAAAAGTTTTTATTCTATAATGTTGTTCAGTGGAAAAATATACAATACTAAAAACGTTAAGTTTCTTTTTACTGTTAGCGCATATGTTTATCAAAACATTTCATTAAAATAATATTGTGTTTAAATATAATGTACTTTAGATTCTTATTTCTGCATTGTTTATATACAGCATTGCATCAGATTATTTTTTTGGTGGAAGTTTTCTCCCACTGTAAATCTTCTTATATACTAACATTTACAGACAGTAGTAATTTGCGAATGTACTGTAAATGTAGACAGTCATTTCAATTGGCTGTCAAACAAGGTTGAGATATCTAAAGTCTGCCATTTTTACTGCCAATTGTGACGTCACTCGAAGCTAAACTGAAGTAGTCTAATTTGCATATAGGTCTCGTTCGATTGCTTGCCGTGATTACTGGCCAGGCCGCATTGATTTTCTTTTCTTTCCAAGTTGATAATTACAATACATGCTGCTACAGTGCTCTATTTCTTGGCTCTATCTACACTATCAAATTTCTTTTGATAATACACTGTTGTATGCCCATATATAGTCATGATGTGCCTATATATGGTCATGATGTGATGTCATCATGACCATATTTAGACATGTCACATGTTTTTGTGACATTAAATTTGATAGGTTACGTAGGGCTTTAGTAATTATGCAATAATTTATATCAAATTTAGAAAACTATTTAATTTGTGTATAGATTTATAAACAATATATCATCTTTATGGATTATTAAAATGAGAATAGATTCAATATAAGTAAAAAAGATTAAATTATGAGTTTTTTTTTACTACAAGATTGAATGTTTAAGGATTACAATTATATAAAGACAATTTGTTTCTGATAGATAGAAGAGATGAAAAAGAAGAAAGTGGAAAGATAATAATGCTAAAAATTTATTACAAAAATGAGAATTAGTTAAAATATGATTAAGTAAAAAAGACTTATCAGGTTTTTTAGTATAATACTATATGCACATGATTGAATAAGTAATGTTAACTTACTATGAATAAGGAATACAATATATTAATATATATATATATATATAATATATATATATATTATTATATTAATATATATATATTAATTATATTATTTATTATATATTAATATTTGCCTCTGATAAAGTGGTAAGAGATAAGAAAGAACATGGAAAGGTGATGCTAAAAAGAGATGATTGATTGAAAGATAAAAAAAAATTCTACAAATTGACTGTAGGATTCGAATACAGATGGCTACATTGCTATTTATTAGAAAATGCTTCAGATTTAAGTACTTTACTGAAACTAAAACAGGTAGCACAAATATAAACTGGATGCAGTTACGCTCTGGCCAGCTTTAAAAAAAATTTATTTATTACATTTGTATAGCGCCCTTTTCATGATAGTTCATGTTCAAGGACACTTTACATAAACACAAATAATAAAAATACAAAAGTAAACCACACGAAGAACAACCACTTGTAAGTAACTTGATTACTTATACACAATTACAGGTATCCCTTCAGTTAAAGACCATTTTTGGGACTAAGGGGTTTCTGTGGCCTTTAGTAGCTTGGGTTTCTAATTAGAACAATAAAGATAAAAAAGATTGTTAATTTGGGACCACAGAAATTAGTCTAATTGGAGAAAGTAAATCCCATTTGTATATGAAGTTTATGAGAGTGTAATACTTCCCCCTGGTTGAGACGCTGGTCCGCCGCAGATTAATCCCAGCAGTTTGCTGGTACCCATTGATACAACTCGGTAGACTGAAGCAATGTAGATATAAATTGCCGTTGCTCAAGGACACTTAAGCAAAATGCACAGCAAAGGATTGAAACCCCGACCTCAAGGTTGGGAAACCAAACCATTCTTTATTATAAATTAGAGGTGGTCTTTAATTGGAGAGGTTTTTAATTAATGGAGACTAACGAAAAAAAAAAATATATGATTTCAACATACCTGCCAACTACACTTAATTACTTGCTACTATAATTGTCTTTTTATTACTATACTCTTTGATATTAATTTTAACTTAATTCCACATCTATCAATACACATCAATACAGCCTATTTAAAACTGCAAGCCACAGGTTATCTTCATACCTTCACCTTTGACCTTTAATTAAGTTTTACTTACCTGTATTTTGCAACAAGAAAAAAAATAAAAAGCTACTGCAAGGTACATTGATTTTGACATGCAGTGTATTATCTAAATTGAACAAAATATTGTCATTACTTGTGAAAATTGCAAAATGTTAAATATCAAGATTCAAATTGTTTTTTGTAATGAGGGAAAGAAACATGTGAATTAATCTTTCGATTTTGCTGATTAAAGTGGCTTGAGGGAACCACTTTATATCAAACTCTGACCTTCACTGTGATCCATTATGATGCACACAGTGTATGTAAACTTGGCGTACTACTCTAATTATTGTTTTTCTTTCAAATGATCTTAGCTATAGTTTCAATTAATTAAATTTGTTTTCTTTTTCCATAGGGGGTTGTTATAGTACATTTTATCTTAACAATTTGGTGAGTAAATATTTATATTACAGTATTATAACAACAACAACAATAACAACAGCAACTTTGTCTTTCGTTCATGTGTTGCATGCATCTGCCATGTCTGTTTCTATACGTTAATAGGAAGCTTTTGTTTTGCACGACGACGGTAGGACCTAGAACAAAATGACATCAATATGAGTTCTCGTCATCTGGATTATAAGAGTCAGTTTGGCCCTAATCTATATTTTACAGAGAACGTAGGATGGTCATGGACGAATGAATCCGTTCTAAGCTTGCGATGTACCCCAAATCAAAGCCCCATAACATTACTATACTGGACGTGCGTTAATCTTCCAAGGATGTGCCTTCACACATGCAATGTAGCAGGAGACGGTCGCTATTTTTTTTGTAGCCCTTGTACCGTTTATACTCGCGTATAAGACAAACCTTAAAAAAGAGCAAATAACTGGGTGTTGTCTTATAGGCGCGACATACAAATTTCAGATTTTTAAAATCATGTTTGTCTTATGTTCGGATCATTCGTAAGCAGGCGAATTTACTACTGCAATGAAGCTTCTAAGTGTTAGTATAATTGAACGCAATTTTAAATACAGAAAATTAGGATTTTGATGGACGGTACTGTATGTCTAAAATTCATTATTGCACCCACTGAATTTAAACACTAAAGTACACACTCATTTGTTGGCAAGCCTGAGAATCATTTAGGCTAATAAAAAAAAACAAAAAAAAACTCATTATTATAGTTCTTATAATTATAAATTGATATAACTATGTTTTTTGGTCTGGCCGAATAAGCTTAAATTACCAAGGAAAATGTTATCCAGCCTGTTAACTCTGGGCATTTTTCTGGCCACATACTTATGAGTCATAATAGTGGGTTTGAGCTAGGAAAGGCCAATCTGAACACATCACAGAGTTCACTTTCTGTGAAAGAAAAGCAAAAGATTTATTTTATTTATTTATTTATTAAAATTTAATTACAATTATTAAAATAAGAAAATGTTAAAAAAATAAATAAATTTGTTAAAAAAAAATTTGTAAAATATTTTAAGTAATAAAACTTTAAAATGGCAGCCAAAGTCTGAAATTGTTTAAAATACAATAAAAATTTGTAATTGAAATGTATAAAATAATATATACAAATTGCATCTGGAAATTTTAAGTAAAGTTATGATATTATTAATATTTTATTCAACAAATTTTAAAACAATTTCAGCATCTGAGAATACAGTTTGAATATGTATAGACCAACAATATGTACAGGACCAGGTGCAGAGGGAGGGCTCAGCCTAAAGCCTGTTTTTTTATTCGCGCGAATCAAAAGCATCGGTTCACTTCAAGAGCTCTGATTGGTTGCACATATTTACACTTCGCAAAAAGTGCTGATTTCACTGAAGCGAAAAACTCCAATGGAAATGTGAATGCGCATGTGCATGAACCAACACTTTTGATTTGCGTGAAATAATTTGCCTAGTGGGAAACGGGCTTGATACAAAGCAGCGCACGCTCCTACAATTCTTTATTTTATTTTGTGATGTGAATCTCACAGAGGCTCGATCGATGCAGTATTTATAGCACATGTACTTGTACACTCGCAAGCATCGTTAAATGTCAATTAAACTGGTATTAAAAATACAGTGCTACATTCGATATATAGTAGATTATTAATATACAGTACATATTATGATTATATGCGCTCAAGCTAAGGTACAGTTAGTCGATTAAACTCTATTATTGAATGTACAATATTGTAGTCATTGTTATAAAGTGGATTATTAATGTACAGATCTTATTACTAGCCCAAAAGCTAGTGTTATAGTCAAATATTTAAAGTATTTAAGTATATAGTCATAGTTTAATAATTGATTATTCTTGTGCCTATGTACTCACAGCTAATGTTGTCAATTACAGTATTATGGTATTCAAATATATGCTTTTGTTATAAATAGAGTACTACAGTATTATGTCATGATACCATGTGATACTACTCCGTTGCTATCGTTGCAAAAAGAGTTCAACCGGACAACATTTTCTTCACTGACAAACCATTGATCCCAATTTTTATTGTAATTATTAAGAATGGATGTTGTATCTTACTTTTTCTTTGTAAATTTTAATTGATGGTTAAATGTGTGCTGGATAACTAATATAATGCAAGCTTTTGTGTTTTTAGTACATTTTGATGGTAAAATATTAGATTTTAAAATGCGTATTCTAGAAAGCCTATGAAGTCATTCAGGCATAAGAAATGGTAACTAATGTCTGTTGACAGCAAAGAGCGCCTCCTGGTGCTGTGACGACACAACTAGGGTACTCTAACAGTAGTATGGGATTGAAAGCTGATGTCAATTTAACTTGTCTTAAAAGTGCAGTTATTATATATTTTCATGGTTATGATTATTAATTATATTATGTTATTAATATATTTTTTTTATGGCTATTGTTATTTAACATTGGTTGTTATTTATTATTATGTTTTGATAATGACTATTTTGACTAAAAAGAAATAATTCTTTAAAAAATGTTTACTTCTGGCACTTGTATTCTTTATTTGTCAATTATTATTTTATTTTCTGCTCCACCAAATTTCAGTCATTTACTAAACTCATAGGCGAGCGTGCCGTTCGAACCAGCGCCGATATTATGGCTATAGCTTGCGGCGCCCCTGCTAACCGCTCGGCCATTCGACTCACCATGTTATTTAACATTGGTTGTTATTTATTATTATGTTTTGATAATGACTATTTTGACTAAAAAGAAATAATTCTTTAAAAAATGTTTACTTCTGGCACTTGTATTCTTTATTTGTCAATTATTATTTTATTTTTTGCTCCACCAAATTTCAGCCGTTTACTAAACTACAAATAATAAAAGTTCAATGTTTAATTTCTTTCTATGCTCTGATTTTTTTTCTTCAAAATATAGTCTCCTAAAAAATTGTATTAAAAAATGTCTTTTTTGGCATATACATCTTTTATTGTGTAAATAATAAAGCAAAAAAAGAGGTTAAATTCAAATTTATGTCGAAATTATGTACAGTAAGGTCTGCAACTGATTTTAATTGTGATATCTGATTTTCTTATTCCTTGCGTGACCCTAAGCTATATGTACCAGAGCCATCTAAATTGCCTTGCACATAAACTAATACAAAGTGAATGACGAAAAACCAGGTTAGCTAGTATTATGCAAATTAACAAAATGCATTAATGGTCAAAGGTCAAATGTTATAGGTGATATTCATCCGAAATGTATGCGAGGTCAAAAGTTGTCGTCAGTGAGGCGGCAGCTCATGATTTGTAATCCTCGATAAATATTACCGCTGTAAACATTAGATTTTTTACGATTTTCTTAACCGATGCACGGTTGCATGAACTCACGATCGTATTGATGTGAGGTGCTTTAGAGCTACTGTGAATCACCTCGAAGCAGGCTGTTAACACCATAAAGAACATATACTTAACAACCTGTCAGTAACTACTTAATTTCCTAAAGCTACCATGTATAATTTATTACAATAATTATAATTTTTATGCGGAAACTGATGAAGTTAAACCCAGAAACATGTAGAGAAATTTCAAAATCATGTTATATTTAATGCATTGTAATGCTTAGAGAAAAAGAATCATATGCGTAATACTAAAGGAGATTCTAACTATACTAAATTAAGCCCTGTATAAACTGACAAAAAAAAAATTGACATGCCTAAATATGGCATCACATCATGACCATATATAGGTACATCATGACCATATATAGGCACATCATGACTATATATGGGCATACTACAGTTTTTTGTCTAAGAAAATTTGATAGTCTGTACAGAGCTGTGATATAGGTATAGTAACATTTACACAAAAAGGATCAACTAAAGGTCTACAGAATAATAAATTAACCTAGAGGGAAAGATGCAGTGCTGTACAGAGAGTATGCAGAACAAGCTATGACGATGATGCACCAAATACTTATAGCAAAAATAATGATTCACAAATGGTTTTCGTTTTTTAAATCAAATATTACTAATATATTTTGTTCATGTATATTTTCATGAATAGTGTTGTTGCATTTGATACGCATTTACAAATTTATTCTTTTTCCTGGCTTTCCACATTTTTGTTTAACAAATTGTTATATCCAATTTTCCATGCATTCCTTCATACAATCATCATACCATCTATCTGTCCATTTATTCATTTATCCATCCGTCTGTCCGTCCATCCATCCATCCATGTATCCATCAATGCATCAGTCTATCCATCCATCCATTTATTTAATAATAATAATAATAATAATAAGTGACATTTATAAAGCGCTATACGCCTGGAAGCCGGCCCCAGAGCGCATACAATCGTATGCGTAATTTAAACCACAACAATGTAGAATACAAATTCAAGAAAAATATTTACAATATTATCATTCAAAACACCAAAAATGCTAAATGGAATAATTTCAATTGACAACAATAATTCGATTAATTTACTCTATTTACAATAATAAGAATACAGTATTACAAAAATATATTATTACAAAAATATATTAAAAGGGAAGGCAATCGTACAATATAGAAAATACAATTATTAATATTAACAATTCCGATTCATCTACCTGTCCAGCCATCCTATATCCATCCATGCTTCCATCCATCTGTGCATCCATCTATCCATTCATTCCTCCATCCATCCATGCTTCCATCCATCCGTGCATCCATCCATCCGTGCATCCATCCATGCATCCATCCATGCATCCATCCCTCCATCCATCTATCCATCCATCCATTTATTTATTTATCCATTCATTCATCCATCCATCCATTCATCTGTACATCCACTGATCCATCTACCCATCCATCCATGCTTCCATCCATCCATGCATCCATCCATCCATGCGTCCATCCATCCATCAATCCATTCATTCAATGATCTATCCATCCATTCATCCATCCATGCTTCCGTCCATCCATCCATCCATCAATCCATCCATACAGTACATCAATCCACCCATTTATTCAT